ATCATCATCATCATCATCATCATCATCATCATCACCACCATCATCATCATCATCATCATCATCATCATCATCATCATCATCATCATCATTATCATCATCATCATCATCTTCCAGGTTTCCGTGAGCTGGTCCACACACTCGAGCCGAGGTACGATATTCCAAGTCGCCGAACACTTGGTCGGATGCTACCCGACCTGTATGAAACACGGAGGGGATCCCTTGAGCGCTTGCTTCTTGAAACAGGTTTGGTGATCCACAAAAAGACACTCATCTGTCTCTCCACCCAAATATGCAGCCTCTCTCTCTCTCTCTCTCTCTCTCTCTCTCTCTCTCTCTCTCTCTCTCTCCCTCTCTAAATAGAGTCTAGATCAACAAGATGTATCTATATCATCTCCTTCTTTCTTTTTGTCACTTCGTGTACTCATGTACACCCTCATGTGTGCCAAACTATTTGTGTGTTTGTGTGCTTAATAGTAATAATTTAGTCACTTCCATACTTCATGATACATGCAGTGCCTTTCTTTTTAATGCAGGAGCTGTTACCCTCACCACGGACATATGGACATCCAGGCGTACTCAGGCTTTCATTACCGTCACGGCCCATTTTATGAGTCCTGCCTGGGAGCTGATGAGCTGTGTGCTGGAGACACCTAGGATTGCTGAGGCACACACCGCAGCGAACATAGCAGTGATTCTGGCAGAAGTCATGGAGAACTGGCGCATTCGTGACAAGGTACATGAAATACTCCAATTGCATGCCTGCATATTATCATAATATCATTCTGAAATGTGATTAAAAGAAAAAGGAAAAGACTGTCCTCATTCAAACTTTTATTTCCTTTCAGGTGGTGGCCATCGTGACTGACAACGCCAGCAACATGGTTGCTGCTATTGAGCAGCTGAAAATTCGGCACATGCCCTGCTTTGCCCATACCCTCAACCTTGTGGTGACTGACACCCTTGCAGCTGTGACCGGGTTTCAAGCGACCAGGAAGAAGGTGAAAGACATTGTGTCTTTCTTCCATCACAGCGTCAAGGGGTCAGATGTCTTGGCCAAGGTTTTAGAGCAAGCCGGTTCTCAGCCATTAAAGCTCATAAATGAGGTTGAGACCCGGTGGAACTCATGTCATGACATGCTAAAACGGTATAATGACCTTCATCCCCAGGTAACCACAGCCCTCTGTCTTGTCGGCCGGGAAACCATGCTTATTACTCAGTCAGAGGTTGAGGTCATCCAAGCCGTGATCGCCGCCCTGGGGCCTTTTGAGGAGGTCACCAGAGAAATGTCATCGGAGAAAATGACAACGGTATCAAAGGTGATTCCTCTGATCAGGGTCTTGCAGGACATCTTAAAGGACCTGACAAATCGACCATGCATTGGGGGCAGCGTGGCAAAAGAACTACTGCAGCAGCTCAACAGACGATTTGCGTCACCAGAGACCAAGTACCTGTGGGCAGCCAGTACATACCTCGACCCCCGTTTCAAGAAACACGCCTTCTCAGACGGCTCTGCACTGCAAGCTATGCAGGATCGCCTGAAAGGACAGCTGCGTCCAGTGGAGGAAGAGGAAACCTCAACTGCAGAGGTAGAACCTACTCCAGTCGCTGCTGACAACTCATCAATCTGGACGAGGTTCGACAGCAAGATTTCCAGTTTTTTACAGACCACGTCGACGCCTGGTGTTCGGCCAAATCTGGAGATGCGTCGGTACGCGGAGGAGAACCCCATCAGCAGGAAGCAAGACCCCCTGGAATGGTGGAGGAAGCATTCCTCACTGATGCCACAGCTTCAAGAGATAGCTAAAAAATTTCTTTGCTGCCCCGCAACAAGTGTACCGTCGGAGAGAGTGTTCTCTGCGACAGGGGAACTCGTGTCACACAGGCGATCGAACCTCACCGAGGAAAATGTGAACATGATAATTTTTCTGAACAAAAACACATTTTTGTAATTCTTTTGAATTTTCTTCTCCTGGCTTGTCTTGTTCTTTGAATAAACTGAAAGTTGAGCAGACCATGACTACCTCCCACCTCCCGCCCCCACACATACCTCCTCAGGAATAAACTACCGTTCTTTACCCAATATGACGAAAATTATCTAGGTTAAATAAGTAGCCTGAATTTCTTTGTTGTAGATCTAATTCTCTTGTCATGTTTTTACTTTTCATTGATACTTTTGTCGCCTTGAATAAACTATCATGAATGAAAGGGGGGGGGGACAAAAAAGAACCCCCCCTCCAAAAACAAAACAAAAAAAAACAAAACAAAAAACAAAAACCCCCACAAATTAAAAAAAACAAAAAAACCCATCCTTGAAGATCAAAACAGGATCGACAACGTAGCTTAGCCCCCTCGCCCCTCCC